TCCCTCACGATTTTTGCCTCATGATTTTCCCTCACGATTTTCCCTCATCATTTTCCCCTCACCATTCTCCTCTTATGATTTCCTCTCAAGATCTGCCCCTCATGATTTCCCCCTCACGATTTTCCCTCATTAATTTTCCCCTCACGATCTCCCCTCACGATTTTCCCCCTTATGATTTTCGCCTCACAATTTTCCCTCCTTTCCCTCACCTTTCTCCCCGCTCCCTCCCAGCACGAGCTCTCTGCCAAGGCCGTGGCCGCTCTGTCCTCCCTGTATGGCACCAGGTACACGTACGGGAGCATCATCACCACCATCTGTGAGTGCCTCCCCAAAAACCACCCCAAAACCCACCCCAAAACCCACCCAAAGCCCATCCCTTGCACCACGGCCGGGATGAAACATCCCGTAAAATCCCCTCCCGTTGTTTCCCTCAGACGAAGCGAGCGGATCAACCGTCGACTGGACCTACAACCAGGGCATCAAATATTCCTTCACCTTCGAGCTGCGGGACACGGGGCTTTACGGATTCCTGCTTCCCGCCAAACAGATCGTTCCGACGGCCGAGGAGACCTGGTTGGCCCTCAAGGTCATCATGGAGCACGCCCGGGACAACATTTACTGAGCGGGATCGGCAGCTGGAGAGGGGGGGAAGAACCCGATAAATAAACGGATGAGAAAAAGAAAAGCTTTTTTGTTGTTGTTTTCCCTTTTTCCCAAGTCAGGTGGAAAAGCCCTTTCGGAGATGGATCCGGTGTTCCCGCGTGTGCCAACACAAACAGGGCGTGCTGGGCTAAAAAGGGCATGAAAAGGGCATTAAAAGGGCATGAAAATATCAGGGATAAAAGGAAGGAAGGGGTTTTCCCTCTGCTCTGGAACAGGAGGGGAGGGGAAAAGGGTTGGTTTGGCACTGGGCAGCTGGAGCGGCTCTGGGATATGAGGCAATGGATCAACGGGATTTATGGGGCTCCAAGGCTGGAGATGGATTGGGGACAAGGAATGGAGGGACAGGACACAGGGAATGGCCTCCCACTGCCAGAAGGCTAGATGGGATATTGGGAAGGAATTCCTGGCTGGGAGGGTGGGGAGAGGCTGGAATGAATCTCCCAGAGAAGCTGTGGTTGCCCCTGGATCCCTGGAAGTGTCCAAGGGCAGGTTGGAGCAACCTGGGATAGTGGGAGGTGTCTCTGGGTGGAACTGGACAAGTTTTAAGTCCCTTCCCATCCAAACTATTCCATGATCCCTCCTCAGCCCCTGTAATCCCCAGGGAAGGGGAGCCCAGTCCCTGCCCACTCCCACTTTTTCCAGATTTTCCAAAGCTCTCAAAATTCAAACTGGGAAAAAAAAAAACAAACACCAAAACCACTCAACCTTCTGGTGTCATTTACATTTAATTAAATTAAACAATTAAACCTCACAGCATTTACAGAGTTTGACTCTCCACCAAACAGCACCAAGAGTCCAAACACGCCCAAATCCACCAAGACAGCGGGAAAGTCCATCAGTCCTTCCTTGGATTCCTGGATTTGGGAGATATCAAACAGCTTAGTTTTGTCTGTTCCATAGGAGGAGGTTGTCATGGAACCAGGGATTCTGGATCAGTGTCTGTCCAGAGATGGGCAGCAAAACCAGGATTTCAGCCAACACAGTGACAATTCCAAGAGCTCTTGGAGGTGACAAAGCTGCTCCCACCCCACAGGGCCCTCTGTGTTGTACCAATCCCTGGATTTCAAGCACTCAACAAATCAGGGAATTGTTTGGGTTGGAAAAGCCCTCTGAGATCATCAAGTCCAACCATTCCCAGCACTGCCAAGGCCATCACAAATCCATGTCCATCAGTGCCACATCCACATGGATTTTAAATCCCTCCAGGCACGAGGACTCCACCACTGTCCTGGGCACTCTTTCCATGATGGAACTTTCCCAGATATCCAACCTGAACCTCCCCTGGCACAACTTGAGGTTGTTCCCTCTTGTCCTGGGGCTCCCTTGGATCTCCCCTTCCCTGTGCACATCCAGCTCCATGGAAAAGGGGGATCATTTTCCTGAATTATGCAGGAGATGTTCCTTTATTCCGTGTTTTTCACCACAACATAAAAATGGAGCTGCTGCACAAGTCATATCCCAACTTCCAAAGCTAAATGGGATATTTCTGTGGTGCTTCAACACCAAATTCCTTTGAAAGCTCCATTTAGCTTTGATTTATTTATTTTATTTTCCCTACGGATGATCCTGACTCAGAATCCCAATTTTGTGTGGATCTCCTCCCTCTTTCCTGGAGAAGCCCAAGGATATGGCTCTTAACAGACTAAAACTTCCATTCCTGGAGTCAGGAATTGTCTGCTTGAACACTCAGAGACACAACAAACATCATAAAAGCGCTCAGGGGATGTTGAGCCTTAACCTTCCAAACTGGGAATTCTGTGCAATTCCTCCCCCTTTGCCCTTTCACCAGAATTATCCCAAAATCACCAGCGAATTTTGGGGAGGGTTTGAACATTTTCTGCTTCAAAAAGAGGGGGAAGAAAGCACTGAAATCCAAAAATACACACAAAACCCCCACAATAATCAAAGCTGGACCAGGCTCAGCAAGGTTGTAAAGTCAAGACTAAAGAGCAGGTCCTTCCTAAGCCTCGCTCAGGCAGCTCTGCTTTGTCACCAGGGAAAACCAGATGATTCCCAGAAGGAAAACCGCGCCTCTCATTTTCCAGGAAACCCTCACCCTTGTTCAGCTCCACATTCCAGGTCCCTGCTGGGATTTAGGGATCCCGGTTCAACAGCAGCAGGAAATTTCCCCTTGAGCCACCAAAACCTCAAAAGAAGCTCCTAAAAATACCTCTGGGAAAGGTGTAACTGGGAATAAACTTCCAGAAAAAGACACAACAGTTCCAAGTGTCCAGGAGCAAACACGACCCTCGGGTCCCAGTGCCACCTTGGGCCAATTTCCAAAAAACACCTTTATTAGAAATACTTCCGTTCATCATCATAATTTAATTAAAATACCCCCAAAAAAACCTCTTTTTAAGGATCTTTTCTCCATTTTGGCAACTTGCTGAGTGTCTTTGTCTCTCGTTTGTGCTCCCAGGACAGTTCTGGTCCCTTCACCTCCGCGTGTGTCCACAGGTGGCTCCAGGGAACGTCACGGATTCAAATTCCATCCCCTGGACTAAAAGCTTGGTGGAAGTTCCTACTGGTCCCAGACTTCACTACCAGTTTGCTCCCAACCCTACAAACCTGCGGGATGACACTCCTGCCTCCAGGAAACCCCATTCCAGCTCTCCAAAGCCTGACCCGAGCTGCCTTTTCCACACCTGCGGTTGCTTTTCCCTGCGGATTCCTAAAACCACAAAGGGGCTGCACTGCTCAGGGTATTCCCAAAACCTGGATAATCCTTTATTCGGTGGGAGGAGACCCCACTGGTTATTTCCAGGGCCTGTTCTGGAGGCTGGTCCTGCTGAGCGTGCGGGAGCTGAGGGATCCAGCGTTGGAGCCGTGGAGGCTGGGGCTGCTCCTCATGGATGTGGGCTTGGAATCCCGGCTGGAAATCCCACGGCTCAGGCGGCCTGGGGGGGAAAACAACCCACGGTCACACACTGGTTGCCCTGGAAAGGAGCTGTGGACACTCCATCCTGGAAGTGTTCAAGGCCAGGATGGGCAGTCAGAGCAACCTGGGACACTGGAAGGTTTGGGGCTGGAAGTGGACGATCCTTAAGGTCCCTTCCCACCCAACCCATTCCATGATCTTACTGGCAGCGTCCAAAGGAATGTGCTCCTCCTCCAGGTAGTACTTCAGCTTCTGGAGATCATCTGCAGAGAACCTCCACTTGTTCTCAGCACGGGTGGGAGGGACTCGGGGAGAGGTTTTCCTTCGGGCGGATCCCGGGGGAGCCGGGACCTGGCAGGACAGCGGGAGCGTGCCCGTGATCAACCCCTCTGGGATCTTCTGTGCAAGGACCTTCAGGCCTGCAGGGACACAGACCCACGTTAGCCCAGCTGTGGTGGGATCTACCAAGCACAAGGGAAACACTGCATGGAGCTGAAGATCCGAGAAGTTCGGATGGAGGAAAGTGGGCAGGAGGGGAGGTGGGAATTCTGTCCCTCTGGGGAACAGCACAAGGACGTGGAGCTGCTGGAGCAAGTCCAGGGGAGGCCATGGAGCTGCTGCCAGGGTTGGATTCCCTCTGCTCTGGAGCCAGGCTGGGAATGCTGGGAATGTTCCCCTGGAGAAGAGAAGGCTCCAGGGAGAGCTGAGAGCCCCTTGCAGGGCCTAAAGGGGCTCCAGGAGAGCTGGAGAGGGACTGGGGACAAGGGATGGAGGGACAGGACACAGGGAATGGCTTCCCACTGCCAGAGGGCAGGGAGAAATGGCATATTGGGAAGGAATTGCTGTCTGGGAGGGTGGAGAGGGGCTGGAATGGATTTCCCAGAGAAGCTGTGGCTGCCCCTGGATCCCTGGAAGTGTCCAAGGGCAGGCTGGAGCAACCTGGGATAGTGGGAGGTGTCCCTGGGGTTGGAACTAGATGATCCTTCAGTTCTCTTCCCACCCAAACCACTCTGTGATTCCATGATCCAGCTTTTTCCAACCTCCAGCTCACACAACCCTTGCTCTCCCCTCTGTTTCCCCAGGAGCCCTCGGGGGGTTCTTCCTACCCCTGGGAGATCTCAGGGAGCTCTTCCCACACCCGAGAGCTCTCAGGGAGCTCTTCCCACTCCCAGGAGCTCTTGAGGAGCTCGTCCCATTTCCAGAAGCCCTTGGGAGGCTCTTCCCATTTCCAGGAGCCCTCAGGGGGCTCTTCCCACCCCCAGGAGCCCTCAAGGAGCTCTTCCCATGCCCGGGGGATCTCCGGGAGCTCTTCTCACACCCAGGGGATTTCAGGGAGCTCTTCTCACACCCAGGGGATCTCGGGGAGCTCTTCCCATTTCCAGGAGTTCTCAAGGAGCTTTTCCCAGGCCCAGGAGTCCTTGAGGAGTTCTTCCCACTCCCAGGAGCCCTCAGGGGCCTCTTTCGATCCCCAGGAGCCCTCAGGGAGCTCTTCCCATGCCCAGGAACCCTCAGGAAAGCTCTTCCCACACCCAGGAGCCCTCAAGGAGCTCTTCCCATGCCCGGGGGATGCCTGGGAGCTCTTCCCGTTTCCAGGAGCCCTCGAGGAGCTTTTCCCATCCCCAGGAGCTCTCAAGGGGGCTCTTCCCACCCCCAGGAGCCCTCAAGGAGCTCTTCCCACCCCCAGGAGCCCTCGAGGAGCTCTTCCCACCCCCAGGAGCCCTCAGGGAGCTCTTCCCACTCCCAGGAGCCCTCGAGGAGCTCTTCCCACTCC